GAAGGTATAAAGAACTAAAAAAAGTTAGACCCCCAAAATATAAAATATCAAATCAAAAAAGGGGAATTGAAATAAATGGACACTTACCAGAAGAAATACAAATGGCCAATCAATTCCTGAAACAGTGCTTGACATCACTGGCCACCAGAGAAATGCAAATTAAAACAACTCTTTTACCCCAGAAAGAATGGCCATCATCATGAAATCAAATGATAACACATGCTGCTGGGGGAAAGGAGCCCTTCTACCTGTCAGTGGGAACATAAACTAATAATACAATAACTTTGGAAATCAGTATGAAGATTCCTCAAAAGATTTAAAATAGATATTCCATTTGACCCAGGTATTCCCCTTCTAGGTATCTTCCTAAAAGAGTTAAGGACATTATTTACAGTGATGTGCATATTGATGTTTGTAGTAGAGCAATTCATTATAGCTAAATCTTAGAAGTGGCCTATATGTTTACCAATAGATGAATGGATAAAAAAATGTAGCATTTATACACAGTGGAGTACTGCTCTGCCATGAGCAAGGACAAACTTGAGTAATTTGTAGGGAAACAGATAACACCTCGAGACTACAAGGTTATGTAAAATACAACCACACAAACTTAAACATCCCATCTTTTTTTTCTCATAAGAGAAACCCAAGTATAAATAGCAAAATAAAAGATGGATAATAGGAAGTAGCAAGATGGATCTTTATCAAAAGGGAAGGGATCAAGAGATGGAAGGGGAGGGAAGGAAGGGGAAGGGGGTGAAGAAAAGGAGCTAAGATGTATTATGTATATGTATCAGTTCCCCACAAGGAATGTAAACATGGAGAACAAACATGTATTAATGGAAAAGTGGGGGGAAAATATATATGTGGCTGCCCAAACAAGGCAGATTATCTAGATATGCAGCCTTGACTTGGAAAATTTATGTGATTTCCATGTTTTTTCAATGTATTCTATGGAAAGAACCCCCAAGTGTAAATTTCAGAAAAGTATATATATATATATGCCCATACTCTGCATGCAGATCAGTTCCTGTGTGCCTGTTACCAGGTTCCAGCCCAAACCTAATTTCCCCGTCTCTCCTTTATCTTTCCAGGGGTCTTTGTGAGCCAGGGGTGTTGTGTGTCCATGGGTGAGGGGACGGCATCCAGTGGGGGTACCGTGTGGATCTGTGAGTTCTTGGGAAACTGCAGGGCTCTGTCCAGCAGAGCCTTTCATGAGGTTTCTGCCTTCAGGTCTCCTGCGGGGGGCAGTGTAGTGATCTGCCCTTGCCCAACGTTTTTCACAATAGAGAAGATTGAGCCCGGCATTCCTTGTCACATTTCATAAGCTGATTTGGTGGAGTTTGGAGTCCATCTTCAGCAGCGTGCCACAGGGGAACAGTGGTGGGATGTCTCGTGGAACCACTGCCGTGGCAGAGCTGAAGCGTTTCATAGAAACACCAGTTCCTGGAGTTTTGTGTCAGTCATCATCCTGTCATCTGTATGGTCAGAAGTAGAACCAGGCCTGGCACCGTCAGTCCCTGGTACAGGGTGTTTTCTCTCTGTGGGAAGAAGAAAAGGAAGCATAGAATGCAGGATAATGACCCTCAGATCCACTCGGGAAGAGAATCGCTGATCTGTGCTTTCAGCCTGAGAGACCCGATTGCTGTCTCATCTGTTCTGCCTTTCGCCCGGAGTGGCACTGCCATCCAGTACCCCCAGGAACCTCTTCTTCGTGGTGTGGGGAATGAGATTTTAGAATACAGAAGTATATACATCCTTTTCGGTGCAACTTATTTTTTAAAATAATCTATTTTTTATGTTATTGTCTTAACAACTGCAGATGCTTGTGCTGTGCTGTTTTCTGTCTTTTTAGGCTCCTATGATCGAGCAGTTGTTTTGCTCTTCTCTCATGATCTTCAGATGATACAAGCCTTTTGTTTTGGGGGCAAAATGATGAGACTGAGTCTGTCCAGCTCAGTAGCCTCCTGCCACATGTGGCTCCTGAGCACTTGAAATGTGATGTGATTGAGAAACTCAGGTTTCACCATTACATTTTAATTAATACAAGATAAAGTTTAATACGAAGCAGTATAAAATCGTCTTCTTTAAACTCATCTTTGTATTGTTAAGATGAGCTTGCACTTCAGCTGCTGAGAACAGTAGCTAAATGATGTGCTCCTGTCAGTTGCATTCCTGGATTTTGAAGATGGTGTGGAAAAAGTATAAATATCTCATAAGTGATTTTCATGTTGATTATATGTTGAAATGCTAATGATTGGGTTAAAATACATTTTAAAATTAGTTTATCTTGTTCACTTTTACTTTCCTAGTGTGACTACCGGGACAGTCGAGGTAATGGCGTGGTGCGCTCATCGTGTTCCTCCAGCAGGGTTTCTTCCCTGGGCCCTGCTGACATCAGGGCTGAGTCGCTCGTGTTGGAGGAGCCGCTGTCTTCCCCATAGGATGCCCAGCAGTATGGCTCCCCTGTTCTGGCTGCTCCAGACCGGCATCCTGCCCCATACGGGCACCTTTCTGTGTTCTAAGTGGCCTAGCCTCAGCCTGTGCCTGAAGCTGTCCTGAGACAGCTCTGGGTTCCCACTGCTGGAGTCACTGGAAGATGCGCCTTGGGTTGGCCGTTCTTACCTCAGCTTCTGCCAGTAGTTCCGTCCTACTCTCATACAGCAGAGTAAAACAGATTCTTTTACGAGCAAAGATCTGCTGACAGATCTTACGGATTCTGATGTTATTCAGCAAGGTAAAATGTGAGTTCTCCCGAGTTTACCAGCTGTTTAGGAGATGTAGAAAGTCAGTGAAAGAGAGGCAAGAGACTACTTGTGTCACATATGATTGGTGCCATGGAGAAAGAGAATTGGATGGAGGCGTTTGGGGGTGACAGGGACGCTGTTCCTCCAGCCACCCTGATATTTCAGGACCTGTGCCTGTCATTCCCCAGACTTCCAGTTTGTTGTGTTTCTTCTGGGTTACATATTTTCTTTTTATTTGTTTGTTTTTGAGGCAGGGTCTCATTATGTAGTTCAGACTGGCCTTGAACTCATAGCAGTCCTTCTGCCTCAGCCTCGTGAGTGCTGGGTGTATTGGCATGTGCCACCACACCGAGCTAGGTACATCTTTTCTTACTGTTGCTTATAAGAAATGTTTTGCAGACACCTTTCCACAGCCTTCAGTGCACCCTCTTGAGTGGGTGGATCTGGATCTTGGAGGGATCACCCATCCTCCTCTGCTTGGCAGTCTGCGGGTTGCACCTGTCTCTCTGGCAGCCTTATCAGGCTTTAACTTAGATTGTGGTCAGCAGCCCAAGGTCATTTACTAAAGGGCAACTTCTGTGTGGTAGTTTGTCCTGTTGCCTTTCACTGGGTTGCTGCGTAGGGTGGAGTTTGAATGTGGGTTTGCACTTGGCTCTGAGTTCCCCACACAAGCAAGTAAGGTGGATTTGACGATGGCCATTTACCCTTCCAAATTGCTTTGTCTCTCCTTTGTGGTTGTGCTTGTGCTTGGAGCAGACGGTAGCACAGAGAGTCTGGCTTCCTCATAATCAATAATCATTACATTTTCATAAAGTACACCTATTGGGGGCATTATACCGCTGGTCAGGCTCTGCAAAACTTATGTCAGATTCACAACTCCCTAGCTCTGTTACATTCTGCATTGGCTTTTACATAGATGGGAAATGGAAAATACAGCTTCCACACAGCTCTAGAGCTGCATTATACTTGCGCGTGGTAGATGATGGCAGGGTTTTTGTATCCCTCGTATCCGCTGTTCATGTCACAGAGATTGATAGTCTTAGAGAGTGGAGGATGTGATTTAAGTGCCATCTGTGGCCACTTACCCAGCAGATTGGTTCAGTAGCAGATTGGCCAAATGAGCAGTGCGTGTTCCTGATGAGGACAGCACAATTTTATTGAGTGGCTTTAAATAATATTTATTTAAAACTTCAGATTTTATTAACTTGTATTATTTAATTCAGGTTTAATGTAGAACTTCTTTAGGTGGTAAATGTTTGGTATTTAATATCTTAGTTACATGGGTATGTCTCAAAAAGCAGCTCGAAAGCTGGCATCCCCTCCATAACCTCAGATAAGAGTGGTAAGAGTAGATTATTACCATCACGGTGTTTAGAAAGTGGGTCCTCCGAGTCTGATCTGTGGAAATGGGCTCAGCTTCTGCCCAACAGTCCTGGACTGTGATGTGCTGCTTATCCAGGTCTCAGACCCTCTGCCACTTAGGGCTACCATCCTGCTGGACACTTCCAAATCTCTGAAGAGGCGTTGAGGATGCTTACCTTCGCGATGGGGCTTTAATTTGTGTCTTGATGCCAGCCCTGCCAGCCACTTTGATTTGAACCCGTTGTCTGATGTTAAATATTAACCACCCGTGGTTCGAGCTGCCCACCGGGACAGTTATACACGTACCATTGGTGGTAAGCCAGCACAAACGCGTGAATTTGTAAAGGGTTTTCTAGTCTATCCTGACTTGCTCGGTGTCAGTGCCCTTGGGGAAGTACCAATGTGTGAGGCAGGGCCTACATTTTACTTTGACTTTCGTAGTGGATTTGAATTTTCCCATTTAATTCTCTAAAAAACTTCAGGCTCTGTGATTGCATTCTGTGTACAATGTTCAGCAGCGAAAGTACAGTAATGTGTTGAAGGTTGGAATATGGCAGGGGTGTGTTGAATGAGACAAGAGTATTAGATGTGTGAGCACAATAAAAGTTAGTGTTAAGTGATTCAGACCGCTGGACCCCTCATACTGGGAAAGTCCAATCCCCACAGTGCTGAAGACAGAGGACCTGTTGATTTGTCACAGAACTTCTTAGGTGGCAGGATAGCGGAGAGCAGGTACAACCCAGGCTGGCCCTGTTTCACCCTGTCTGTGACAGTGTACATTTTTAGAGTGTCTGTGTGTATGCCTGCCCTTAAATATTGTTGACAGCAGGTTTTTCTCTCCATTGTCAGTGCCATTAAAATCAACTCTTGTTTTTCTTTTCTGTTTTTCAGAACAAGTTTGCCCTCTCCTATGTTTTCCAGAAATGACTTCAGTATCTGGAGCATCCTCAGAAAATGTATTGGAATGGTAAATTAGCTGTTTTAACATATAATATTAGGCACATATATGTTTAATTGCATAGCCTTTGGAAAGGTAACTTTAAAATTTTTATGAAAATAACACAGCAATGTTTATGGAAACCTGAAAGACTCAGAAATTTTGGAAAAGTCTTAGTTTTTCTGACAGAATTTGAACCCCTCTTTATGCCATTTAATGTGGCTCCAGTGTGACTCTTCATGGTAAGAGAAATTTGAAAATGCATCTTTCCTGTTATCCTACTACATTTATATTTCCTCCTAAACTCACTTAGAAATTCAAAGAAGTAAAAGCTCACCACCCAGAACATGGTTTCAGTTACATTTGTTACACCAAGCAAATGTCTATGCTTTGGATTTGTACGTGTGCTGTGTTAGCTGTGTGCAGTCTGTCTCTGCTTCGCTATCCACGCAGATGGATTTGGTGTTGGAGCGGGGAGTAGCAACATCTCCTGTTGAGTAACTCCCTGGCTTCCTGTAAGGTGGCATGCAGCACTGCTGGCTGATGTTAGGCTAGAAACCTGAGTAAAGTTACTTTAACTCTTCCCAGCATATGGCCTTTAACATGTAAAAATATACGAGTCCTGAGGTGTCTATCTGGACATCACCTTGATAAACGTAGTCTTGAGTGCTGCCCAGGACACTCCCAGGACTTTCCCTGCACCAAGAAGTAGAGCCTGTCACCTTCCCACGGCAGCCTTCTGGTGCTTGAAATCTTTTCACTCACTGACGTGTCAGGTTCAGCATTTTTCTGTCTGTGCATCTGAGACTTCCTAAGTGTCATTGCCAAGCAGCACATCCCAGAAACTTTCACCTTAAACATTTTCTGAATTCTGCATGGAGACTAATCCAGCTAGATTGATAATGTGAGATTTAACCCCAATTCTGTGTCTTCCTGGCTGTGAGACCCTGAGCAGTGCTGAGGGCCACTGTCTCCTGTGTGAAGTCAGGATGAGAGTTTGTACCCTAGAGGTCTCCTGGGGCCCCATAATTTATATAAAATGTCTCGGACAATGCCTGGTTTACATACAGCTCCAAATATTACATGCTGATCATAAGTGAACTTCTGGTAACTTCTGTTAATGGCTGAGTCAGAAGACTTGGGCTCTAAATCCACTTCAGTTATATTAGCATTCATTAGGCCAAAGCGGATGTGTATTGACAAATGTATGCTTAAATAAGATAATTTTTACTAATATCTAAATAAGATGTTAGTGTCTTTGGAATTGGAGATTTCAAGACCAAAAAAATTAGTATTTGTATTCTACAGTGTCCATATTCTTTAAACACTTAGTAGACACATTTCCCTTTGTGATCCAGCATGTTAGTGTGTTGGAGTATGTGTGTGTGTGTAGTTTTTGCAAAAGCATGTGCATTACCTCAAATGGTGTTTTTTGCTATATTAAAGTAATGCTGATCCAATTCATTAAATTGATTTTACAACTTGCTGATGAACCCACATTTTAGAAAACACCACTTTAAGTGACTGTAGAATTGTTAGAACATCTGTCCCTAGATGTGAAGTCAAAGAGGTTTGTATGAAAAAGTCATGGGTTAGTCTTTCTGGCCATTATGGAAAATACAATTTTCTGTATTTGTTTCCCTAGCCCATCTCCTGTTTCACGGGATCTTATGAAATTTGTTCCTGCAGGTGACCAGCAGTCTGTTTTATGTCTTCAGCAAACATTCTTTTGAAGACTGTTCTTTTACAAGTTAAGAAATAATGTTCTGTTGGACTGTACCTGTCAATCTTCAAAAGTGCTTTATTTTTCTAGAATGTGGGTTTACTTTTTATTTTTAGGTACAGAACTACTTGTGCAAATAAACACTTATGCTTAATAATAAATAAGATAAAGCACATGGAAACAGGAGGATTTGGGTTGAAAGGTCTCCACAGAATGTTTTGAAACTTCTCTCTGCTTAGAACTTGCTGATTAAAAGCATGAGAGAAAGCTGCAGGGGAAATAGGATCTTTGGAAACAGCTGTCTGCTGAGGTTTGTTAGAGAACCATTGTTCTAGAAGATTTATTAATGTGGATGGGAGGGAAATCACCCAGCATTTGGAAGTGTTCTTTGGGTGCTGTCATAGGATCCTCTCTTAGTTTTTGTTGTTGTTGTTGTTGTTGTTGTTGTTTGTTTGTTTTATGAGACAGGGTCTCACTATGTAGTTGAGACTGACCTGGAACTCACTGTGTAGCCCAGGCTAGTCTCGAACTCACAGCGATCCTCTCCCTCAGTCTCCCAAGTTCTGGGATTACAGGCGTGCTCCACCATGCCCAGCAGGATCCTCTCTTAGGACTCAGTCAAAATGTGAGTGCTGGGTGACAGCAGTGATTCAGGGTAAGGTATTTTGAGAGAGAAATGCCACTGTTAACCACCAGAGTAGATTTTCAAAAGTAATTTTTTTGGTGTCAACCCCCTGCTGATATCTGCCTGTTCCCACCCTCCCTAAAAGAAAGTGGGTCAAAGCTTAGAAAATACTAGTATCTATGGGTTTTAAAGTGAAGGCTTTGAAAAACAACAGAAACCCATGGTGCCTTCATGATTTTGTTACAATTAATACAATTAATGAAAATACTTTGTTTTGGGTTCTTTTTGTGGGGATCAGTCTCCCTTACAGGAGCCCCAGAAATCTTTCAGCTGTCTCTGTCCCCGTAAGTTTCATCCGTTTCTTACTTTGGTACTAAGAAGTCTAAAATGCAGCAGGAGAAATTTGCTTTTCTGCGTCCCTGCTGGCTGGTGAGCCAGTGGAGCGGCCTCCTGCAGCAGCCTCCCAGCTCAGCGCTGACGTTTCTAGACCAGTCCCCGGTTTAGGGTTGTGGAAGGGATCAGTTTCACAGTGTTGCGTCATCCAAAATACAACTTCTTTTTTTTTTTTGGTACCGGGGATTGAACTGGGGTCCTTGCGCTTACAAGACAGGCCACTGAACTGCTGAGCTAAATCCCCAGCCCCAAAATACGACTTCTTAATATAATTTTAAAAAATTGTGTCATTACATGTTTCTAAAATATAATGCTTACATTCATGGGGGGAATGGGTACATGGATGTAACACATAGTAGTTGCCTGTCTCGCAAGTGTAATGTAGTCCTAATTTTGTCTTGATCAGGAAGGAGCGTCGTGGCTTCTTCTCCAGGAATCTCTTGTCCTGAACCTCAGTGCCCACAGCTGCCTCTCCATGGAGGCCCTGTCATCTCTTCCACTTCTACGCACATGCACGTTTTGTTTTGCTTGTTTCCAAAGGGCAGGTATACTTGGATCTACCAAACTGACGACTTCCTTTTTCTCTTCTCCCAGTCTGTTTTGGCCGGGATTGTATTACTGGATTATACTTGATGAAATAAATACTTTACATAACTAGAATTCAGTCCTAAGCCTCTTCATGATGGAAGTTCTTACCAAACCAATTCCCAGCTCCTCAGAACAAAGAGTGAGACTGGCGAATTGTTTTGAGCCTTGTTCTGTGTTTCCTTGCTACCGTTGGCCTTTCTTGAGGACTCCTTAATCCCAGGGGCCCCTTCTCCTGTTTCCCGCTTCGTCTTCCTCTTCTCCCCATCCTTTACTCTCAGGCTTTCTTAGCCAGGCTCACACGGGGTCACCCAAGTGTTGACACTCACTCATTGTGGGGACCTGGGCACAAAACCGGAGAAGGTGCTCACTCTCACGGCCATGCCTGCATAGCCCTGCACTTGTTCTGGCATCTTGGAGGATAAGATGCTTAGTGCTGAATTATTTATTTTAAGAGATGACGGGTCTCTGGTAAAAGGTGAATATTCACTTTTTAAAATCTGAATGCTGTCATATACTTTTGAAAGTATCCAGCAGCATCCACATACCACAGGGACTTGACTGCCACCAGCGTTCTGTTGAATAAACGCACGGGCAAGCTGGCTTTTAATAGATGAAGAGCTTATAGTTCCATTTACCCTTATAACTCAAATTTTTTTCTTTCCTAGAGGATATTATTGTAGCAGTTTTTATCTCTGAAAGTATCTTATTTCACTATTACAAAAATGTGTATAAAAGGTATTTCTTATGACCACAGACTTTATTACTGCAGGTTTTTTTTTTGTTTTGTTTTGTTTGGTACTGGGGATCAAACTCAGGTCTTTGTGCTTGCAAAGTAGGTAGCGGAACCACTGAGCTCAATCCCTGGCCCATACTACTACAGTTTTTGCATCATTATTCTTGTAAATGTTAGTATAGGAGTGATCAAAATTACAAAGATACCAAAATATTAGCATAAGAGGTAAAACGTTATTTGTGTATTAGTGAAGAGAATTTTTAAAAATTAAGCTTAGCCATCTGAGATGACTAAGACTGAATGCTAGAATGAGAGGATTTTCATTAACAGTTGTTTTTTTTTTTTTAATGCAAGGATTGAGAAACCTTGCTCACATCCATAGGCAGATGGGAGTAGGAGTTTCGTGGGTTTTAAAATATCTAGCAGTGTCATTCAGTTCTTGGACCCTCCCTTCCGAACTGTATGCCAAAAATCAGATTATATTATCAAAAATGACTTATAGTCCGTAAGCTGGCTGCTCAGTCGTACTCCCTTCATTGTTACGTTGTAAAGCATTTGGCAGGCCCCCCTTGCAGAAAGCCTTCCTCCGGGTCTCAGGGCTTCCTCACAGAGGGCAGGGGTGGGGGCAGGGTGGGGGCGGGACCTCCCTCCCCAGCACCAGTCCCCTGCAGTCGCCTTCATTCGGGCGCCGTTGCATCTTTGCCAATATATTTATTTATAAAATGCCTTTATTCATCTTGAGCTTTCAGGTATTGCCCTGAAAAGTGCAGACTGAGCTCATCTGCTGGATGCAGAATGTCTGGCACCTGGCCACAGGCCCAAACACACCTCCAGCTCAAAGTGACCGCCTGGAGGGGTGTGATGCCATTTTTAGATAAAGGTGGATGTCACTATGACAACTGTCCTGTTCTTGGATTCAAACACTAGATAGATACAGAGCTGGATAGGATCTGAAGCCTTGCTGCATC